TTTGTTTTTCTTTGTTTGTTAGTTTGAATGAAATCTATTGTAGACTACGGGTAGTCCCCATTTTCCCTTAGGGATAGTAGAGCGAGCGAAACGCGAGCGCGCGTGACAATCAACTTACACGAGAAAGGCGAGACGCGGCGGTGAGAGAGAAAAAATTCTCTCTCCCAGCAGTTTTGCCTTTCTCGCTTGAGGTGATTTCACGCGCGCTCGAGTTTCCCTCGCTCTACTATACCTGAGGAAAAATGGGGACTACTTGTAGTCTAAATGAAATCGTGAAGCTTTCACATTGCAGTAGTAGTGGTAGTGGTAGTGGTAGTGGTAGTGGTAGTGGTAGTGGTAGTGGTATTGGTAGTGGTAGTAGTAGTAGTAGTAAGTATAAGAGAAATCCATTTTTTTTTACTCTGTGTATACATTATCTTTTTGTAATGATGATAGCACCTATCAAGTAATTCACAGTGAACTTACGCAACAGGACGGGAGAGAAAGGAAGACGGCAGACGTTTTGTGACAGGTGTGACAATAATTTTGTTTGTAAAAACCTTCCGCCAAAATCCACTTTCCTTTGAACAGGTCTTAATTTCTTGTAAACTGCCGGAATTAAAACATTAGTGTAAAATGAAGATGACGACAAAACACTCAAGTGATAGCCCTGTCACGTTTGTCACACACACCTTTTTTGCCGTCCTCTTCTTCCTGTCGTCATAATTTTTATGCACACATATTAATAGTGAGGACAACTCGGAGATCGTTATTGAGAATTTTTTTTTTTTTGGACACACGAGAGAAGTTTTGGAGAAGGAACATTATATTGTTGCTACTCTTACTTCTCGAGTGTTGTTAAAAATTTTAAGGGCTCATACTTTTAGAGCCCTTTCACAGTGACGCCACGTCCGCCATGTTGATTCCCCAAGACATTAATCAGGGTCGGCCAGGGTTTTTGGGTACACAGTTTATTGGGGTATTTAATTTCAGGTATACAGTATTTCTATGCTTAAAATTGGGTATAGAGTATTCCGGCCATCACGACCAATTTTGGGTATAAAGTATACTGTATTTTTCTTAATTTTGGTATTTTACATGAGTTTTAGTATAATTTTTGGTATATTGGAAGGTTTTTTTCCGGTATTTTGGTATTCCACTACCCCCCCCCCCTCCCCCTCACCCATCGCCCGACCCTGATTGATACGGCGGGCATGTTGTTGTCCAAAAAATGTAAGGGTTTTCTGCCGAAAGTACCCTAGTAAGGTGTTTAGACTCCGACCCTTTCTAGCTTTGAAGTATTGTTATAACGCCCAAAGAGCCAAAATTCTATATTCTTTGTCAGGGCCGCCCTAAAAATACAGTAACTCATCACTGTTAATTGGGAAAGAGTCTGTCTTTCTCTGGACAAGACATCATATTCAGTTGTAGACTTCTGAAGTAAACTTCCAAGTAACCAGAACTCGCAGGAAATCTTCGTACCACCGCACTTTCTCCATAAGAATAATTGTGGGGCGATTTTTGCGTGCAAGAATCCTCTGTTTGTAATTTACGTCAACCGTCAATGTAGTCTGCGTTAAAGGCGAATTTTTCGGGCGAGCGAACTTCAGTATTTTCTCTTTTATATTTAGAACTAAAGTTTGGTTTAATTTGTTAGGCGTTAGGTTCGGCCCGCCCATTTGTCACTTCATTCCAACTGTTTTAATTGGAGTCAGACTGCGTCCCAAGCCAGTTTCAGTTTACCACACGCTTTTTTCCAACACCATCGGAGCCGACAACTCCCATTAACTTCTCATTAATGCATTTGAGCGTTAACACAACGTCGTATAATTAACGGTCATACATACAAACCGAGTGTTCCGTCATATACAGTTGGCTCGACTCGGCTGGTACAACCCTTCCGAAATCAAGGTAATTAACTGGATGCCCTTTAATGTCCGTGACCTTGAAACAGAAATGGCATTTTCTAGCCTGCGAGCAATCTCCCCCACCTTAGGAGAGATTGCTTGCAGGCCAGCCATTGTCAAGCATAATACACAAAACCCGGAACACGCACACCAATTCTCGTTAATATAATTAACTTTTTACTCGTACAATTTGGCTTGATTGACAGTAAGTTTTGCGACAGAGTTACAGACCTTTGTTATTATAGAATTGTGATTGGATGCTAGATAGCTGACGTCATTATAGGTCGCTGTGCTATACACACCCAATCTAATTCGGCGTCCGCTTTTGATCTAATGTCAACTCCTGTCAGTTTCTTAGCACAATCACTAATCTAAGCTTTGTAAAGTCGCTGTTTCTACCAGAGTCCGTGGACCGTGCTTGCAGGTTTGTTTCTTAATTTCTGTCTAATCTGTTACGTAAAATGTAACTCAATGAAGATGGTCTCTTCTTTGAGCACTCATACGGTCGTGCCAAACGCATCATACACGGACCATGAACTTAAAGAACATTCGCGATCTCTCAAATGTTCAACCAGTGAGTGGTCAATGAAAAAGTTAAACTGTTCGATTTACATAGGACACGTTAGCTTGGCAAAGTAGAGACGTGCTTGCAGGTTTGCTTCTTACTTTTTGTTTAATCTATTACGTAAAACGTAGCTGAATGAGGGATGGTCTTTCCTTTGAGCACTCACGATGTCGTGCTATTGAATCTTTATGCTAAACGCATTATAAACCGACCATGAAGCTAAAGAACATTCGCGTTCTCTCAAATGTTCAACCAGTGACTGGTCGATGAAAAAGCTAAACTGTTCGGTTTACATTAGAGGGTCTGAATGGGGGAGACTGGGGAGTCCACATATCGGTTATCAATTATTATTTTCGGTCTTTGTCGGTTGTCGGTAAATCTCGGTAAATGATTAACAAAGCGAGTTAATCATTCATATTCGTTTTTTAATTCACACAGTTTAAACTCTAAACAAGTACAAAACTTCTTCATTCATCGTCAATTCATCTTTTTAATTGCAATGGAACTTCATTTTAAGTCTGGTTTGTTTAGCTACGCGATCGTTTGTTTCAATTTTGTTAGCAAAGACTGAAAAAATCACCAAACATTCAACATTGAAATTTGCTTTAATTCCGATGACCATGACTTCTCCCATGACGCCGTTACTTAATACGTTCTGTGATTTCGAAGGTGGCTGAGGAGACCAATCCAAGCACGCAAGTGTCTGCCACATGTGAAGTCACGTTTATTGTCAAATTCTTTTTTGACTCATTGTCTTCCCTCAATTCAGGCAAAAATTGACGACTTTCATATTTTTATTAATATCTCTGCAGGTATTTGGAATTTTAAGTGATTTACATACCTCAGGCCCCATTTGTCAGGGGCACCCAAAGAGAATATAGTTCAAAACCACTTAACATAGCATTGTTAAACGTATTTTAGTATTTAAACGGTAGATAGATCTGTTCGGATTTCCTAGCTGAAAGCCTAGTGATCCGAAAATTGTAGGGATCAAAAGTTACCTTTTCGAAAATTTCAGCCAGAAAAATGGCTCCCGAAAATTCTAGGTGACCTTTTTAAGGTAAACATCCGTTAAAAATTGGCAATTATACCATTTTTTAGGTGTTCGAAAATCATAGGAGAGGCAGGCAAGCAAGAAATTGTACAACAAATGTTCCGAAAATTCTAGATTTCAAATCGTCTTCCAAACAGATATTTTTCGAAAATTGACGTTGGGTGCCCCTGATTTGTTCAAAAGCTAGATAGCGCTATCCACCGTACCGGTTAAATCCCCTTTCAGTGGACAGTGCAATTCGGTTTCCCCAATACTTATCCGCTGGATAGTGATTCATCCGGTGGATAACGCTATCCAAAGTTTGAACAACTGGGGCCTTGTCTGAAATAGAGCTGACTACAAGACCTTCCATCTGCTGGAAACAAATCAAGCGAAATATATTTGGCAAAATAGGAAAATAAAAAAAATAATAAACAAAATGCGATTCATTTTTGAATACAAATTAACCCACAATGTTGGACCATGTCGGTTGTCGGCTAATTTTTTTCCTGTCGGTAGTCAGTAATTTTTTTTCTCGTTTTGTCAGTAGTCAGTTACATTTTTTGCCGTTTGTCGCTAGTCGTTCAACCCCATTCAGACCGTCATGTTAGCTTAGCAAAGTAAATACGATTTATTTCTGGGTTAATTATTTAAATCAGTTGACTTCACTGAACCCTAACGCGAGAAATACTAGGTTCTTGGGCTTTTAGTTTGACGTTCAACTTGTGTTGTAATGGGCATTGACTAATTCTCACATTACTTTCTACTTTCTACTTAAGTAACTTATCGCGAGATTTTTATATTTCAAGATCTTCCCATCTGTTTCAGAGGCTGCTAGACCGTGAATTGTCAATACACTATTGTTGACTAATACCTTCGGAACGCGTTCAAACCTGAAACGTGATGGTTTACTTACCGACAGACAAAAGCTGCAAGCCATTATAATACATTCAATGTAGTTGTAGGTGTATTTTAAAGTAGATTTTTTGATCGCGTGATATATTTCAAGGCTCACGTGACATCTGAGTACTGCCTTTGCCCTGCAAACGGCTGGTCCTTCGATTCACTTGGATGACCACCTCAAGTTTCAATCCCGCTTCCAGTAGTAAACGTAAAAATAGTGTTTACAATAAGTAGTATCGGGCTAAATGCATAACAACTCAAATGAAGTTTTTTATTATTATAATTTACAAATATATAAAGGAAATTAATTCAGAGATTGATAATTGTAGGTAAAGAATTTTCCCTAGGGGAAAAATATTTTGTGCAGACCTAGAGTGATTTTACTTGAACCGTGAAACAGATGCTAACAAATGGTGCAAAAGAGCGAGATGTAAACAAAAATTCTACCACCTATTTCACGGTTCAAGTAAAATCATTCACCTGAATACCTTGTATTTTTTAATAGTACCTTGTGTCATTTTGGTAGTTGTTTGGTTAATAAAGGTGCTACATAAGATCTCAAACTATTTTACCTTTTTGTGTCTCCAGTTCGATGTAGATGTAAAAAACGATCATGTCAGAAGCTGCGACGAACTACGATTCAAATAACAGCGATGCTGGCCCACCTCAGCAGGCTGTTGGTCTTCCATCCATAAAAGATGTTACAACAACATTGAAACAGCCAGATCTACCCATTGATATTCTTTTAGTAACTGTTAAGGACTGCGAGTTCTTAGCTTGTTACAATGAGCTTAAAGATCCCTTTAGATGTCATTTTGATGATCTCGGTTACGTTTACTTCGCGGACGTTGTCGGAAGTCAGCCAGGGCGAGTGAAAGTAGCACTAATGAAGTGTCATGAAGGTGCTATCGGTCCGGGTGGCTCTCTCACTGCCGTTAGGAATGCTGCCCCTATTCTACAACCCAAGGCCGTGATATCTGTTGGGGCATGCAGTGGTCTCAACCCTGACAAAACCAAGTTAGGAGATGTCATTGTATCAGCCAAGCTAACAACATATGCATCCAAAGTAGTGACAAGCGACCAAGAGCAGTGGGCTGGTATTAGCAGTTACGTGAGCAAACGATTTCTTAACATCATTAAGAATTGCGCTGATGGATGGCAACCACCATTGAAGAACCCAGAAGATCGCCACATCAACGTTCATAACAATGGCGAGTTCTTAAGTGGTCCAGAGCAGATCAGAGCTGAAAGGCGCCGAAAAGAACTTGTCGACCACCATCCCCTTGCAACAGGAGTGGAGATGGAGGGAGAAGGTAAGTGTGTGTCACGTTAAACAACAGTGTTTGAATTCTTACACAGGTACAATGTATTTCAATTACTGCATTGTTAATGATGTCACATTTCAAGGCCTCAAGCCTACTCCAAAAGACCGCAAGGTAGCATGGTTCGTTTTTTTTATGAAATTACCCGTGTTGCTTTGCGGTCTCTGTGGGAAGGCTTTTTGCTGTCTTTCATTGGCCCAGTAAAGACGCGCGCGTACTGGGAGAGAAAAGGAGGGGAGGAGTCATCTCCCCTTTTGCGTGTTCCTCTCATCCGCTTTATAAAAACTAGCCAGAAAAACTAATCGGTACCTGTCACACGTACAGCTAGGCCGTTTTGAAAGAATGAAGAAAATTAAAATATTTATTATGAACACCTACATAGCAAGTACTTTAAAGGATGAGTTGTCCTGATCATTGGATCATAATGTAAAAATATGTTTACACACTAGAATGCTAAAAACTGATATACTGTATACTTGACGTCATTTTTGTGCAACAACGTACATATAATCGCTATATTAAACGGAAACATTTGTCTATGGAGTCTGAGACTGATCTAGGATCGCTTGAATATGTCTGACGCAGACAGCTTTCGATCGTGACACCGAACTTTACAACTGGGAACTAAAATGAACTGTGTCACTTATAACAATAAAGTAATTGAATGAAAAATGTTCATAATAAGAAAGTTGCAGTCTGTAATCAAAAGAAAAGGCGTGAAAATCATTTCTCTTACTTGGCTGTCGAAGGGGTCTGGCATCTCTTGATTCTGCGTTTTTTTTACATCCAGTTTGTTATTAAAAATAATTTTTCGTTAATGTTTTTAAACATTAAAATCGTCAAAAATGTTAATTGCAAAGTAAAGAATTACAACTGCGTCCACGTGCCATCAATTAATTTTTTTTAGTTTCTTTTTCCCGCAAAACTTAATTATCTATAAGAGGTAATTTACAGACATTAATATATCCTAAATGTGTCTCATATTTCAGGTGTTTTAACAGCTGCATATGATACTCAACTCGAGTGGCTCATTGTTAAAGGGATAGCTGATTTTGCGGATGGTGAGCAAGTGAATGCAGAAAGCTGGGAAGCCCGTGCTAGTGCGATGGCAGCATCTCTTGTCTCACACATGTTAAGTGATCCTGGTGTTTTCCGCACTTGGCCTCATTACCAAGGTATAAATTCTTGTTAGTCTAGTGGATTATGAAAAAGCGTTGGGTTTAACAGGCTGAATTTGCTGGCTTCAGCAAAAGGACTGCGTGAATGCTGCTAATGAGACAGTGAAGAATCTCAGATCCTGAGATCAAAAGGCACATTCATCATTTTTCTTTATCTTTATTTTTATCTTTAATTAGTTAATTGCCAATGGCATAGGGTAATGGTGGCCATGGGTGGCCATAATTATGCGGTAGATGATGGCCTTTAACACAGGCAAAGACGGAGCGTTAATAAAAGCAAACGGAAAACTGTTACACACACTCAGCTATACAACGGGGAAAAAACGAGTACTTAGGCATCAACAAAAACGGGTCAGAGGTTGTATACCATGTTAAGGGGATTTCCTGTTATAGGAGGTATTAAAAATCTCTAGGATATCCAAGCGGCGTTACCTCATCATTCAAGACATTCAAGATTCAGTCGCTCTGACCTCTTAGTCTACACAAAAACGTTGATCGTCGGGGTACATGTTTCTGGTCAGAAATTGAGGGTCCTTTTCTTAGTTATAAATTGCATCATCACCAATAAGTACGGCACAAAATGCTAATGATGTCTTTGCCTGGATCTTTCAGTGGATGATGATCTCTTAGGGGCTCAATTCGAAAGCAGTAGAAAGCGGAAGCTAGCTGAGCACCATGCAGGTAATATGTGAACTGAACATGTGTTTCTTTATAACGCTGACTCATTTTTCTTGTTCCGCTGTTTGCTTCACTTTCATTTTAGAATGCATAAGGTAACCCGGTTTGGAAAATTCGGGAACTCTTAAATTTTTGCTGGTGGAATCAGGAATTCTGGGATTTGGAATCTGGAATTCAACTCCAGGAATCAGGAATCCCGCTATAGCAATTGGAATCCAGAATCACAGTGTGCACTCCAGAATCGAAGGCTCTCTTGGTTTACTTTACAGGGGGCGAAATGAACAAAAAATCAGTCGTGAGACACGTTTAGCGCCGCAAATGTGTAACAAAGCTGACTTTAAGTGACTGACACTGTCAAACGCGAAGTTATGACCGAACTACAAAGGATTGAAAGCTACCAACATGGCCCAGTGGTCTTGGGGTAGGCATATGCATGAGGCCTTGAAATACGACGAAGTTAAGTGAAAAACATGTATCTGAAGTGGCCCGCATCTCAACCAACGATTTTCTTCACCAGGTGCTTTGTGTGATGATCAGCGCTCAACACAAACGAAAAGAGGAATGTT